AGATAGACATGCTGTAGAGACTACTGCAGCAAGCAGTCTGGTCCACTGACCTCCTTTGCTTGTCCCTGTCTTTTTCTCTCAGTAGAGGAGAGTGCAGTATCCTGTGTCCTCCCGCTCTAAAGATAATCAGTGTAATTACAGGTTCTGTTTCTATTAACCAGAAGCACATACATACACACATGCACAGCTGACAACATCTCCAGCATGCTAACAAACCCCAGAGAACCCCAGCTGACACACACGCCATTCACCCAAAGCAACCGTTTTACTTTCACTGAATGAGTTCCCAGCATAAACTTGTGCAGACACATTTCCGCTATGTTTTAGGAACTACTTATGTTATAATTTAATCTACCTGAGTGGAGATTGATGTGCAGCAAATCGCTGATTTCCGGAGCTCCTTAAAACCGGCCAATTAGCGGATAATAACCGGGATTAGTTTTTGGTTTTTACCGGCGGAGGAAACGGACTAACCGCTACTTCTTCTTTTCTTCCTACGTTTTCTTCTTCTTCAGCGTTCACCTCAGTTCAAACTGCGGCACCAACCGCCGGTGGGACGTTAAATAAAACAAACGAACAAGAGAAGTAGCCTAACGGTTGTTCACGTGCTCCCAGGGCGGTAATAACGGTAACAGTGGCTTCTGACTGAGATGGGACTGAGCTCCTTTTACGCGCCAGCTTTTCCAACTAGCGGTCTCCTCCTCCTTTTCTCTCTCCCCCATCTCCGCTTGCCCCTTTTCTCTCTCTCACTCTCCCTAGCTCTACCTTTTTTTTAGGCACGCGCGCTGAATAATGTAGGGCTCGCGAGGTCCTGGGAGTGTTTTCTGTCCCGTTCCAGAGACAATCGGAGAGCGACCAGCCAGCGCGAGCTCCAGCCAAGCACAATGAGGCCGACCCGCGCGGATCAGGTTACCACCATGCTGCCTTTCATTCATTCATTTATTCAGCCGCAAAACAATCTGACTGCAGCCCGGCAAGGCCCCACTCTCTCCCCTGCCTCTGTACCCCACCTCTCAGCCCATACACCTCCTGCTCTGATAACCCCCCCCAAACACCTCCCTCTCAAATGTGCTCATGTGGCATTTTCTGAGGAACAACAACTTGGAACAGTCTAGAACAGTGGTTCTCAAACTTTTCACAATGAG